TGGGTTTGATGGAACCATGCCTGGGTTCGATGCATTTCTCACTGATCCAACAAACAAGCATATCTCTGTGATCAAGAAAAACAACTTGATTTCCATAGCCAAAGAAGCAAAGACACAAATTTCACATGTTTGCAGCAACTGTTTCTAAGCAAAGGTGAAAATTATCAAAGGTGAACTTTTTTATGTCATACCAACAAATAATGAAGAGGATTACTACACAAAGGAACCTAGTGCCTAGGTTCCAAAGAACCTAGGCGTGTTGGGTTTGAAGGAACCCACTCTTGGGTTTCTTCCTTTGAACCCAGAATGCCAAGGTTCAATGACCTAGGCATTGGTTACTTCGAACCCAGCACACCTGGGTTCGATGCATTTCTCACTGATCCAGCAAATAAGCATATCTCTGCAATCAAGAAAAACAACTTGATTTCCATAGCCAAAGAAGCAAAGACACAAATTTCACATGTTTGCAACAATTGTTACTAAGCAAAGGTAAAAATTATCAAAGGTGAACTTTTTTATGCCATACGGATTATTGGACAAAGGAACCGTGAATGCTAGGTTCGAACCCAGCACTTGGGTTCCTTGCAACCCCAACACCTGGGTTTCATCGAACCCAGGCGTGCTGGGTTCCAAGGAATCCAGCCTTTTTGTTTCCCTTCTGGTGGGTTCCTTGGAACCCCAGTGCCTGGGTTTCATTGAACCCAAGTGTGCTGGGTTCGAAGGAACCCACCCCAATGCCTGGGTTTCATGGTGGGTTCCTTTGAACCCAAGTGTGCTGGGTTTGAAGGAACCCACACTTAGGTTCCTTGGAACCCAGCACCAAGGTTCCATGTGACCTAGCCCTTTCGTTTCCCTTTTATTTGTTGATGAATTCTGTTGGATTCGAAGGGAAAAGAGAAAGGGAAAGAGAAGAGAGAGAAAAAAAAAAGAATTTTTTATTTTTTATCATATTATTATTATTTTTTTCCATGTCATTATTGTAAAGTGCAAGCTGGACTTGCCAACATGTAAAAAAATCTAAGTTGGCGCTGACATGTGAATGTATGACGAAAGCTAATGGGTCATGTGTTATACATGATCGTTTGCCGTTAAATTTTGCCTCATTTCCCTAAATGTGAAAACATAAAAGGTAAAAACTCATATATTATAATATGAGGAGTAAAATGCCTCAAATTTGAAAAGTTAAAGGGCAAACGCGGGGTTTTTGCCCCAAGTCGTGCATGATGGTATATATATATATATAATGGGTAAAATAACAAAGATGCAAAATGCAAGTAGTGCATGAATCAAATTAGAAGGTAATGGCATGAACATTCTAAATAAGAATTCTTATATGGGTTTCTCTTATATGTAATTTAAAGATACATATTAATGATGTAATAAATTCATATTTTTATAATTAATTTACATAAAAAAGTATAAAAATTGACATTTATGCTAATACTATTAATACACATAAATCATTTTAATTAATTAATTAATTAATTCAAAATTAATACTTACTCTTTTTATACAAATTAATTATAAAAATAATATATTAATTACATCAACATGTACTCTAAAAAATAAATGTTAAAAAACCCTTCTTGTATTATGCACTTAATTGTTTAGGTGATCTTCCTGAATGAATGGTCCAATGTCAGTTGTTTAATAATGAGATATGGATGAGATCAACCCCATTATTCTATTGTATTGGTCAAATTCTTAATTCCTAATAATTAACACTTATGGAGTTTTTCATATGTATAATGGAATCACCACTGACCCATTTGACATTTTTTGGGGAAACCATTCTTTCAATTCGTGTTTGATTTTGCATCCTTTTACCTTCCTAATTTCAATTTATGTCCATGTAACCTTCAATTATTAGGTTTGATTCTGTTCCAACTCTGTCATTGGTTATTAAAGCCAAGGCATTGTTGCAACAAGAGAAAAGTTTGTACACTTACATGACACTATATTCCACTATATACCACTTCAGTTGATACATCAATGATCAAAACACAAACATAACGTGTAATGTTGTGTTTGAGATTCACTGATCTAATTGGGGCTAAGTGGGTGTGTTTCAATTAACGAGGGATGCTTTACCCACGTGACGTTCACAAACGTGCAGCATGATGCTAGGCGGTTTTTACCCACGTGGAGCAGGCTTTCACAATGTAGGTTCACAATGCTGTTTTTTTTTTTCTTTTTTTTCTTCATGGGAATCATTGCCAAAGGAGGATATTTTAAAATAGATGGTGGAAATTAAATTCTTGATCAATTAAAGTCAAGTATTAAGATTTGAAAATAAATCATTAGATTTAAAAAGTCGATTTCATAATAATGCTGTTTTTTTGTTCTCTAGTAGTATATACAATTAATTATACACAGGAATATAACACTTAGCTAGATGTATATAATTAATTAGGACATTGATATATATAATTTTAGGTTTAATATATTACATAATATATTTATTAAAATTATTATTATTTATTTAAAATTAAAGTAAAAAAAAATTAAAAGATGTAGCTATGCATATAACATGTGAGAACTGATTGAATTAATTCTATTTATATTATATTAATTTTAATAACTAAACTTAGTGGGTGTTAAAAGATGTGTTAAACTAAAATGTATATATCACTCACTTTTTAATTAATTAATTAACAATTGTTCAATTAAAAGTTTTATTCATATAAATTAGACATATTATTTTTTAAGTTGGTTTAGTAGACTTAAATAATTTATTGATTATATAAAATTTAATATTGTTAAATACATATCATGGTAGTAAATGAAGTTTTTTTAATTAAAAACTTATAAAAATATGAGATCTATAAGAAAAATGAACAAGCATTTTTTGACAACCAAAGAAAAATATTAATATTAATATTATTTGAAGTATAAGCAGTACCTCAACGCTTATACATACATGTTCCCGAAACAGCACAAAAATGAAAGATTTACTTGAGCAAATTTTGCCCTTCTTATGCTTTTGCAATTTGTGTTGTCGCATAAAGATGAAAGTTGGACATGCTTATACACATAAATAGAATTTTTAATTTAATGATTATCTTTTAAAAAATTAGAATGTGACTTTTTAAATAGGTCATTTAAAAAAAAATTTAAAACGATGAATTACATTACACTAATCTCTTATTGTAGAGATTTGCCACATCAGTCCAATTTAACTTTCCACATCACTAAAATACCTTTTAGGTGGGCCACTTTAATTTCCACATCAAGTAATTAAAAAACAAAGCAGTTAACAAAAAAATTTATATATGCCACATAACCACTTAACTAATAGAAAGACCAAAAATGGACAAAAAAAAAATTAGAGGAACTAAAATTGAAATTTTTTTAATTTAAAAACCAAAACAAGAGCCCATTTAAAAGTTGAGGGGCTAAATTGAAGTTTAACATAACCCGTTTATGGTCTTTCTTGACATGCCAATTATTTGCTGGGGACTTTCGAAAATTCCTTCGTACATATGATTGCGTCATTTGCGTGTTCTTAAAAAACTCTAATCCTGAAATTTGCAACCTTTTTCTAAGCCCTCAGAATTTACAAAATTTATTCCCAACTGAAATGTATTGAATATTTAAACACATACTTTCAATACAAAATTCACGACAAAAAATACATTTATTGCGTATTAACATATGCCGTTATATTATAATACAAAAAATTATTAAGAAAATTTATTTTGTATTACACTATTCATGTTGATCACATTTCCTAGGTTCTTACATACATTTCTTATGTTGAAAAAAGTTGTTTAGTTGGTGAGTGGCGACAGAATTGAAACCATTATTGAAGGTTTGAAGAGTATAATTACCTAACAACTCCAACAACTAACATGTTTAGAAAAATATATGCAACCCGAATGCGCCCATTGTTTTCGTTATCTCTCTTTTTGACTTCTTCCCTTTCCTTAGTTAGCCACCGTGCTCCAACACCCCTGTGCCAAAACACCAATATAAAACCCTCTTTCCATCCCTTCTTCAATCCTCAACTTTCCCCCTCCAAAATTTCAGCTTCCAACCTCCAAGATCTTCGAAAATCTTTCTTTGGTAAGTTTTCTCGAATCGTAATTTATCCATTGTTTTCTTATTTTGAGAACAAAAAACAACTATCTCTAACACTTTTTTTATTTTTGCTATCATATGTTGTATGACTTGATTACTTCCATTGATAAATTATTACAAAATCATTTAGGTCATTCACTTGTTTTAAACATTTCAATCCAAATTGCATCCAAGGTGGATTCCACATATAATGGAAACACCCTAAGTCCCATGTTTACATATATATTTCATGACGGTATTGTGGTATTAGTCCACTAGGTTATGTCAAAATTGCCGTCCAACTCATCATGCACAAAATGTCCTAACATCAGGGAATCGTCTCAATGATTTACCACTATTTTTTTCTCATAAAGTTATGAAATGTCCAAAATGCCATTTTGGATTATATAGTTCATCAGCATGGTAATATGGTCAATTCGCTTAGTTTCACATTTTTATTTCCACTTTCAGGAACACGGAAATTGCTTTGAAGGGACACAAATTCTTATCTGTAACAGAAAGATAAGGGAATGGAGTTTCAGCACAGCAAGCACGAGTCGTGGTCGGAGACAGAGAGCGCCGGCAGCACGAGGCTCGGCTACAGCGGTCCACTGAGCGGGCCGTTGGTGACGAACAACAGTCGAAACAGCAGCCGGAAGAAGAGTGCGAGGATCAAGGAAGGCGATCAGGACTACGTCGAGATCACGCTTGACATCCGCGATGACGCTGTTTCCGTGCAGAACATCAGGGGCGGCGATCAGGAGACGGCAATGCTGGCGAGCAGGCTGGAGAAGAAGACTCTCGGATCCTTACTTTCCTTCCGGTTGCGCCAGTTCTCCGGTGAGCTGAAGCAGTTGGCAACGCCGTCTAGGAGGTTCAACAAGATCGACCGGAGTAAGTCCGGCGCCGCCCGCGCCCTCCAGGGCCTCAAGTTCATTACCAGGAACAATGTCGGAGGCGAAGGCTGGTCCGAAGTCGAGAAACGTTTCGATGATTTGTCCGTCAATGGAACCCTCCCAAAAACGCGTTTCGGACAATGTATAGGTACAATATCTACCAATCATGTCTATATAAAGTTTTGAAATTTCTAATTAATCCAATAATTTCAATGTAATTCGCATACTTTACTTTTGATTAGATTTAGATTAACATAAAAAAAAGATCATTTAAACTTGACTTATTGGCACTAACATTAATTTTTTATCCTTTAAATATATAGTTATAATGTAATTATCTTATGAAAATGGTATTTATCCACTTTCTTTTTTAAAAATTAAAAAAAATTGTTTTTTTAAATTTCCTTCTTTTTATTAATTCTTTTTTGAAAAAAATTAAAAAATAATATTTTTAAAGCATGAATAATGTATTTTTATCATTTTTTCTTTTAATTTTTTGAATATAAGACAGATAAACATTAATTTCTTATCTTATTATAAAAAATTATCGTATTGTGAACAGGAATGAATGAGTCGAGTGAGTTTGCGAATGTGTTGTTTGATGCATTGGCTCGTAGAAGAGGCATAACATCAACAACAATTAACAAAGCGGAGCTTGGAGAGTTCTGGGTGCAGATCACAGATCAAAGTTTTGATGCTAGGCTTCAGACCTTCTTTGACATGTAAGAATAATATTTAAAGCATTCTATTATTTCGTGTTATAAGAAAATTAAGAGAAAAATTAATAATAATAGCTGTGAAGCATTTTACCCCATTTTCTGCCCTTCTGATGTGCCGCCGCCATATCTTTGATAATATATTCCCTTTCTGCTCATGCGGTTGACTTTTAAAAATTTTTATAATTAGTAAATAAATTTTGAAATGGTATGAATCTAAATTTTTCCCTGTCTAATAAGTTTTTTAGAATTGGTCCACGTGCCTCAAAATTGAAAAAAAAAAAAAAAACCTGTACTGTTTATTTATTGGTTATGGTCAGACTTTAATCTCGACGTAGATTTGAGGCGTTACAAATTTTTTTAGACAAAATTGTGTAATTAAAGTAAATTTTGCATTTTTTGTTTGATGCAGGGTGGACAGAGATGCAGATGGAAGGATTAATGAGGAAGAGGTGAAAGAGGTAATATTTTAGGGGGAAAAAAATATTTATATGAATTAAAAATAAAATAAAATTATTAGATTTTTTTTAATTTAATTTATTTAATATCTGCAGATTATTGCTTTAAGTGCTTCTGCTAATAAGCTGTCAAAAATCCAAGACTCTTCTGAGGAATATGCAGCTCTAATCATGGAAGAACTGGACCGAGACAACCTTGGATACATTGAGGTCCGTATCTAAATTGGGCCTGCTTGATCTATTGCTTATTAACTGCAATCATTTTTTTTTTTTTTGATACATTTAAGGATTAGTTACTAAAGAGGAAAAGTTTAAATCTTTTTTCTTAATCTTAAATTAAAAATTTTTAAGTTAATAAGTATAAATTCAGTCTGAGTTTTTATCGAAATTACATCCAATTATGAGTAAATATTGTTGGGTTTTTTTTTTTTTTCCACAGTTGTACAATCTAGAAATGCTGCTTCTTCAAGCACCAAATCAATCAGCCAACTTGATGACAGACAGTCGAGTCCTAAGCCGACTTCTGAGTGAAAAACTGGTACCAACAAAAGAGAGAAACCCCATCAAGAAATGCTACAATGGCCTTGCCTACTTCTTTGAGGATAACTGGAAAAGAATTTGGGTCTTGGCCCTTTGGATCTTAATCTGTGCGGGCCTGTTCACTTGGAAATTCATCCAGTACAAACACCGGGCCGTTTTTCATGTAATGGGCTATTGTGTTACCGTAGCAAAAGGTGGAGCTGAGACCACCAAGCTCAACATGGCCCTCATCCTTCTTCCTGTATGTAGAAATACCATCACTTGGCTTAGGAGCAAAACCAAACTTGGACTAGTTGTTCCATTTGATGACAACATCAACTTCCACAAGGTACAGAAACTTCGAGCATCTTTTCCAGTAGAGAAGATCTTTTCAGAAATTGATCAATTCAAACATGAAATTTTGCTAATTATATCTTCTTTCAAAAATTTTCTATAGGTGATTGCTTTGGGTATAGCAATTGGAGTTGGGTTGCATGCCGGGGCACATCTTACATGTGACTTCCCTAGGCTGCTTCATGCCACTGACGAAGAATATGAACCAATGAAGCAATTCTTTGGGCAGAATCGTCCAAACAACTACTGGTGGTTCGTGAAGGGAACAGAGGGGTGGACCGGCGTGATCATGGTGGTGCTGATGGCGGTGGCATACATACTAGCTCAGCCTTGGTTCCGTAGGAACCGTGTAAACCTCCCCAAAACCCTCAAGAAACTTACCGGATTCAATGCCTTTTGGTACTCCCACCATTTGTTTATCATTGTTTATGCACTCTTCATCGTCCATGGATACTCTCTCTACCTCCTCAAGAAATGGTACAAAAAGACGGTAAGTGCCACAAAACTTTGTCCCAAAAAGTTTAATTATGGACCGTCTCTGTCTACATACTAATACAATCTTATTAATGATGAAATTTTTACAGACATGGATGTATTTAGCAATTCCAATCCTCTTATATGCGTGTGAACGTTTGATTCGAGTTTTTAGATCCGGCTATAAGGCAGTAAAGATTTTAAAGGTATGATCCCTCTATTTTTTTTTTTTTTTTTTCTGTACTTAAATATGAAAACAAAAATGTGTTTGCTCGTCCAAATTGACTAATTTTAATGTCAGTTTAGGTATAAAAAGACTATTTTATCATTAATGAGTGTGAAAGAAAACGAAAAGAAGGGTAAAATGTGATTTTCAGGCCTAGACTGCGTGAAATTTAGCTGGTCCGGACTGAAAATCTGGGCTTTAATATCAATTTTATCATATCTTTAATTTACTTACGGTTCTATACATATATAATTCAGGTGGCTGTGTACCCTGGAAATGTACTCTCCTTGCATATGTCTAAGCCTCAAGGATTCAAATACACAAGTGGGCAGTACATATTTGTGAATTGTTCAGAAGTCTCTCCATTTCAATGGTAAAATCATTTTTTGAAAAATTATTCATTATATATATATATATCACTAGAAAAATAAAAGTGTTTTGTAATGCTAAAATTTTTGTTAATTTGCTTTTATATATCTGCAGGCATCCATTCTCCATTACCTCAGCTCCAGGAGATGATTATCTGAGCATTCATATTCGAACATTAGGCGACTGGACAGCACAGCTCAAAACCCTCTTTGCTAAGGTTGTCAGAAAACTCTAAACCCATCAAGTTCTGAAACAGAAAAACAATCTTAGTCCTCTCAACCTTCAGACATCTCAAGATTTTTCTGTCTTAATTTGTTGAATGTTTCTGTTTTCAGGCATGTCAGCCTCCATCTGTTGATCAAAGTGGCCTCCTAAGAGCTGACGTTGGACAAGGCGATAACATGCCTAGGTAAATTTCTTGTAACCATTTTTACATGAATTTTTGAATCTAGTGTCTGATACAAATTTTGCCTGATATGTAATAATTTATGTGCTGTAATAAACAGGTTACCAAAACTCTTAATTGATGGAGCTTATGGAGCACCAGCACAGGACTACAAGAACTATGAAGTACTGCTCCTTGTGGGGCTAGGCATTGGTGCCACACCCCTGATTAGCATAGTAAAGGATGTCCTTAACAACATCAAGCAAAAGAAAGAGATTGAGGAAGGTGTCACAGAGAGTGCTGGTAAGGGCAACAGAAAAAAGCCTTTTGTCACCCAACGTGCTTATTTCTACTGGGTCACTCGCGAGCAGGGCTCGTTTGAGTGGTTCAGGGGAGTGATGAACGAGGTAGCAGAGTATGACCGGGACCGGATGATTGAGCTTCACAATTACTGCACTAGTGTGTATGAAGAAGGGGATGCTAGGTCAGCCCTGATCACAATGCTTCAGTCTCTGCATCATGCCAAGAATGGGGTGGATATTGTTTCTGGCACCCAGGTTAAAACCCATTTCGCTAGACCAAATTGGCACAAAGTCTACAAGCATGTAGCTGTTAATCACACTAAACAGAGAGTTGGTAAGCATTGCTTCCCCTTTTTTTTTAAATTTTTTTGATCTATTCAACATTAATTTAGGTATTTTCTTGGCAGACTCGAAATGAGCATTAGTTTGTGAATTTTTCTGATTTTTTTTAAATTTTGCAACAGGAGTGTTTTACTGTGGAGCACCTGGACTAACAGGGGAATTAAGAAGACTGGCTAAAGATTTTTCCAGGAAAACAAGCACCAAGTTTGATTTCCACAAGGAGAACTTTTAAAAATTTTTCTATCTACTATGCTTATTTTTTATTTTTTTTGAACTTTTTGGCATAGGGTGGGTTCGAAACCGCCGAAAAGAAGAGAAAATGCACTTTTCAATGGCTAGTGCCATTAATCTTTGGGACCAAGTGCATTTTTTATTCTTTTTACTTTGAAAGAAATGTAATATTATATATAACTCTTGTGTTGCATACTTAAAGTAAATCTTTTTTTTTTAATTTTATTTAATGTATACATGGATTTGCTTCAAACAAGTGGTGGATTAAATGATAAAATTCTAATATTATTTTTTCTTTCTAAAATTCTTTTACATTTAATGAATGATTGCCCAAGAAGCTTTTTTTTTTTAACAAAAAGAAATTAATACACATTAAGTAAATGGAGATTGCAAAAAAAAGATATGTAAAATTCAAACATACACCCCACAAGAAATAATTTGTATTGATTCAAGGTCAAAATCATTAAATCAGAGCGAGGGAATTATACAATAAATTAGTTTGCTTTCTCAACTCCTTCCTACTAGCCTCAAGGGCTTTTTTTTTTTTTGTGGTCTTTTGAATTTGATGGAAACTAAAACTTTTAACTTAAAGATTTTATGGGTTAAGTCCCCAGAGACATTTTAAATATTATTTAATTAGAAACTTTTTAAAATCTCAATATTACTTGTCCATTGAACAAAAATCTTTGATGAGATTATGTTATATATAGAGTAAATATATGTAGAAGAAGGAGAAAATCAAATTACCCCTTTGGAAAGGGCAGATTAAGGGACACAGGAGGTAGAAGGTGGACCACTAATTTGCAGCTAATAAAGGACAACTTTATTCTCAATGCACCTGCTAAGAAAGTTCCTTCTACAGCTCATTTGGAACGGAAACAGCACTTACCATTGATATCTTATAAAATTGATACTTAATTGGAATGGTTTCCTCCATACAGCTTGTATACTTAATTTTATTTTTGCCCTTTTCTAAGTATAATATTATTACCCTTCTAAAAAAATCTAAAAAGTTTCATTTATATTTCTTTTTGAAAGAATATGAGACTATTAAAGTCCTAAGATTAATTATTTCTTCCATGACTACTTTCTGTGAATTGAAGGTAAATTTTTTAAAAGAATGTTGTTTGGTGGTAATTGATAACACTCCACTATCTTTCTATTGACCTAACTTATTTAGGGTTTTTCACTTGAATTAAATATTTTTTATTTTTACTCGTATAAGTGAAATTATTAATAATTTTAGTTAAAATTTTCTTTATATTTATTGTTAAAATGTATTTAAATCAAATTTTATATACTTTGAATTTAATCCTTTTTAAATTAATTTTAAGCATGCACCTTTATATTAATTTATTACATTTTAAAAAATTAAATTGCTTCGATATTGACCCTAAAACGACAACATCAAACAAGGAATAAACAACAACATCAAACTCTTACGAGTTTAATTTCAAACTCTTATGACAACATCAAATTTCTTCGATAGAAAATAAATCTATTAATAAGTTTAACCCTTCAAATTATTATTTTCTACCTAGATTTAGATGGATGTCTTAACTCTTAGGGGTGCAAGTTCAAATTTAAATTTGTAGGAGGCAAGTGTCTTCAAACAACGAAATAGCAGCAACAACATCAACTTCCCAATTGTAAATTTTTTCGGCCTCCCTGAATTGCAATTCATATTTAAATTTTAATAGTAAACATCTCGTTAATATAACTTTAACTTAATATGTAAAAAAATTTATTTATGTATAAATTTTATATATTATATTTATATAAAATTTTAATTTTTTTTAAACCAAACTTGAAAAATTTTAATCATTCAATTTTTTTGTTTTGATATTTAAAATTTATTATGATTTTTTAAATAAAAATAATTATTTTTAATAAATTTAAATAAATCTTATTTATTAAATATAAAAAAATAAATAATTAAATTTTATATAAATTTATTAAATAGGACTTAATGAATAAATAAATAATTATTCCATCTATAAATATTATTTTGGTCTTCATCTCATAAATATATTCAAACATTGAAAAATAAGAATCAATTAATCGGTTAGATAACAATCCCTATTTACTAAAAGTTAAAGGAGTTTTTAGTTGGAATAGTGTTATGAGATTCGAGTGGAGTGTATCAGTATGTAACTAAAAATTAAAAAGAAAAAGGTTTTTTCAATAACGTAGGTCGTCTTCTTCCTTATAAATAAAAAATTTTTAAATTTAAATTACGTAATAAATAAATAAAATGACATAAAAAATAATTAAATCTGTACGACACACTGGAGAAGGTCAAATATTTTAACTGTCATTAACAAAGTAATGGGCGGTAGTAACCCAGCCTATATTGTCATATATGATGCCAACTTGATAAATAAATAAAATGACATAAAAAATAAAAAATAATTATTTTTATGTAAGTAAAATAAAAAAAATTTTAAAAAAATTTTGTTAATATATAAGTCATGAATGAGGCAGCAGGTTACAGGTAGCATTGTCACTCGTCGCAGCACCAGCCCCTAGGCCCTACTTGATTTTTCCTCCCTCCTTTAAGTCATCATCACTACACGCCTTCTTAAGTATCTCCATACCATTCCCAGTCACTTTCTCTTCCTCCCATTCCCTCTTTTCTTTTTCCTTCCTCTGATCCTATCCCCGGAAGTCTTAACTTTTGCTTATTCTTCTGGCTAAATGGCAACAGCACCATCACCAGAGGGAAAAACAGAACCTAAACCTGCGGAACCCAAACCAGAGTCCAAAGAAGTAGAAGAAAATCCAGAGCCTCTCAAGTACAAAGTAAATCTTCTTCTCTTCTACTTTTTTCTTGTTTTTGTTTGGACTAAAGTCTTATCTCATGTCTCACATGTCTCTGGAACTCTGTTTTCTACAGACATGGGTTTTGAAAGTCTCCATTCACTGTGAAGGCTGTAAGAAGAAAGTCAAAAAGATCTTGACAAACATAGAAGGTTAGCCACTAAACCCCCCTTCTTTTTTTTTCCTTTTTCTTTCCTGGAAAATTTCTTATTTATTTCAAAGTTTCCATCTTTTTCAATTTTCTCATCTGGGTGTCTTTCATTTCTCCCTGCTTTCAAATTTTTTTCATCTGGGTATCTTTCATAAGTTTCATTTTCCACTAATTTCAAATTTCGTCATCTGGGATTTCTTTCATTTCATAATATTGATGAATTCTCTTTGTTATTTTCAGGTGTTTATGCTACGGATATTGATTTGAGGCAGCAAAAAGTGACAGTAATGGGTAACGTTGATTCAGAGATTTTGCTCAAGAAATTGATAAAGAAGACAGGGAGACATGCAGAGTTGTGGCCTGAAAAAGCCGATCAAAAACAGAAAAAACAAGGAAAAGGGAAGAGCAAAGAGAAACAGAGCAACCCTGAAAGCAGCGGGGAAGAAACCACCCACGGCGGCGAAGAAGAGAAAGAAACAGTGACGATCGAAGTTCCAGCAAATCAAGAGCCTCCTAAAAGCAGCGGAGGCGAAAATGGAAACAGTACCAGCGGCGGTACCGCTGTCAAAGTCAGTGACGGCGACGGCGCAACCGGCAAAGTCGGTGTTCAGGTCAAGGAAGCAAAGCCCGAGGTCAAGCAGGGCGTCACATCTCCGGCCGGTAGTCAGCCACCGGCGTCGGAGAGTGAAGGTGGTGCGGAGAAAAGCGGCGGTGGCAGTGGAGGTACAAAGAAGAAAAAGAAGGGGCAAAAAGGGAATACAACAAGCAATGTAGTTGAGGGCGAACAGTCTGGCGAACAGTCTAGCGATGCACCCCCGGGTACCGGATCATTACCCGGTAACATTCAGGTGCAGCCTGTACATGCTACTGTTCCACCTGCAGCCAATCACAGCCCTCCACATCAGCATTTTCGTGAGCACCCATCGCATTACTATACAGGGCCGGTGCACGCTGTCAGCTACAATACAACACAACCAAGCAGTAGCTATACTGCATCTTATCACAGTGCACCACCTTCATACGCGTACGTGCACCAGGGTCCCATGGCTGAACCTAGACCTGATCATAACCCGTACCCGTACCCGTATCCACCATCACAATCATCGGATTCATTCGAGATGTTTAGTGATGAAAATCCAAATGCATGTTCAGTAATGTGAGAGTGTGATAAATGAAGGTCATACTACTTGTATAAGCTGAAATGGGAAGGAGGGTAATTTTGAAATGAATGTAGATATGGAAGGAAATCTTAGAGGGCAAGTTAGGGTAAAAATGGAGGAAAAAAATGAAGAGGGAAGTTGGGTATGGGGCCTTTTTCCTCTTGTTGTTTGTTGGTGCTAAGCTTTTCCTTTTTCTAGCCCTTTTTACTCTTTCAAGGTTGGTTTGAAAGTTATAATATAAGTTTTATGTTAGCCTTGTAATGCTTAGTCGTTAGTAGGTCCTCATTGTTTCCTCTCCTCTCTTTCTCTTTCTTTTATGTAAAGAGAACATTTGGCAATTTTGGCTGCACATTAGATTGTGGTGGATAACATATTAACGTATTAGGTTTATAGGATTTTGGGGCATAGATGGTTCTAGTTTAGATGAACCCCTAAAGCCCTTAAACCCTTTTTTTTTTAAAAGGTAATTGCGCTTGTCAAATGTTCAAGAACCTATTGCGATTTGAAGTGGCATGGTGATTTGGTGATCTAATGTTGGCTTATTAGATGGTGATTGATGACATCTAACATTTTGGGCATAAAAATTGAAAGCTTTTAGATGGTTGCTCTAGTCAAAGGTTCAGGATACTCAAGACAATTTGACATGTGTAATGGCGAAATGTGCATTCCCTTATTTAATATTTCTTTATTACAATGAAATTGCTTGGGTTTGGTATTTGTCACTGAATTGTATGGGCTTAAAAGAACTTCTCAAACTCATCTCATTCCTATGTGTAAAGCAAAGACCCGTCTACCATAAGAGGTGGAAAGATTGATTTACAAGGTATAAGGTTGTGACTTTTGGTGCAACTTTTGAAAATTAAAGAGAAATCGAAAACCCAAATTTTTTCCCTTTTTGACTTTATTTTTTGAAAGTACAGATATACTTCAGCAGTTCATCTCTTTTGATTTAGTTACCACACGGTTTTTCATTAGAATTACCCAAAAAAATTATAAAAGTTTACAAAAACAAAATTAATATGTAAAAATTTTATATTACCCTCATTGGACTTTTAACATAGGTACTCAATTATAAAGAGGATGAGAAGTGTTTCTTTACGTTGAGTAATTATTAAGTTTTGTTAAAAGATTGGTTGAGAAATTTTAATAGGAGTAAACTTGGAAAAACGTGAATAAAGTATTATTTAAAACAAAAATTCACAATTAAATTAAAACACCCATTTATAAAAAAAATTGTGATAACTAAATTAGAAGTAATGGTGCAATAGAAATGTTACAAAAACCATTGTAGCCAATATTGAATGGCATTAACTTCGAGGGACAACATATCAACAAGCATAACCTACCTTCATTTTCTCAAAGTGCATTTAATTCTTCATTTTTTGGGTTATTAAGAAGAGAATTTGCAGAGGAATTCTTGTGGAGTAGGTTGTGTATCTTATGGTTGTTCTGTTGCTTAATTTATTTCCAACAATTTTATCCTTATGTAATTATAGTTATTTTTTTTAAAAAAAAAAGAAAATCTCACATTGATAAATTCATTGTAAATTTGTGACTAAAACACAAATTGTTAAATTGAAAAATCTTACATCAATAATATAATAAAAAAATTAGAAATATGAAAATCAGGACATCTTGACACTCAGAATATCTATTAGAATCATAAGTGAGTGAACCTCACTCTTGGTACTCACTCAACGAATGATTGTGATGGACATTCTGAACGCCATGATATCTTTATTTTTTAGGCTCTCTAAAACAATTTATGGGTTAAATACAAAGAATGTTATTTTATTTATTATCAATTAATTTTAAATTAAATATAAATCTTATATAAAAATTCACATACATAATTTTATACAAGTAACTTTATCACCGTATCACATAATTAATAATTTATATAAATAACTCTATCACCACATCTCACAGGGGTTGATGGGAACGCCACCTAGAGCTTCGCTTTCCCCCGTAATATTTCTTTCCCATCCCATAATTTTTGATTTTTTTTCATTATTTTTATTTGCAGGGATTTTTCATTTGCCATAATAGACATTTTTGGGTTGTATCAACTGCCAACCAAATTTCAACACAAATCAAACAGTATCTATGGCTTCTTTACTTTATTTCTTAATGCAGTCGAACAGTGAAGACATTAACCATGTCTCTTTTTTTTTTTCTGTCGGTCTTTGTCTATTTGAGCAAGTTTTTTTTTTTCCTTTTTTTCTTTTAACCACAAATGAACGTGCAAGTTCCTTTTTCCTTCATTAAAAATTTAAAACTAGAACTTTGAAAAAGAAAAAGAAAAAAAAAAAGAAAAAAAAAAAACCCTTTGTGGTGTGTGATGAGCTGTTTCTTTTTTCTTAAGAGAGGTTTTATTGCCTTTTGCTTTTTCTGCTTTCTCTCCTGTCTTTTGTTTTTATTTCTTGGTACCTTCTTTAAAATCTGGCAAGCTTGCTTGCACAGTTCTGCTTTGAATTAAAAGCACTATGCCCCTTTTTGCAAGCAGCCACCAATATTTCCCTTCAGTCTTTATGAATTGGAAAATTAGTTGTCCCCCATATATATAAAGAGAAAAGAAAGCAAAATTAAATTTCACCTGTACACATGTCTGAAATCAGCCAAACTAAATTCCACTTATGTGTAGAGAAGAAAGCAATCCTGTGCAGTTGCATTAGCACTTTTCTCCCTTTGCAAGCAATCACTTTTATCTCTCTTCCTGGGTTTGCTAGCTTATGGCCCATGGGATGTTGCAGAAATTTAAATTTTAAAAAAACCAGCAGTTGTTGTTTCAGAAGAGTCCAATCTCTAAAGCTAAGGTTAACTCTATAACTCGTAAATTAGCCAAAAAATTTGCATTTTTGTCCAAGAGCCGAATCTTCATATTGAAAATTATTCTTGTTTCAAGAGAATTGGTTCTTCAATAGAGACTTTGATTTTTCGCTGCATCTTTGAAAGTCAATACATTTTGTTGCTTAGAAGTCAATTCTTTCTTCTCGAGGATCAAAACTTTAACCTTGACCTTGAGAGTCAATTTTCACTATTTCAGCACTTTGAGTTATATTTGTCGAATCTATCTGCCTAGAGTCAAATATTTAATCTCATTTTGTTCATTAAGAGATAGTTCTTTGGTCAATTTTTATTAAGGTTGTATATGAGTCTAACTGAGCTAAGTAGCATAGTACTCAAGTTTGAAGTTGTGGTAACAAGCTTAGCTCAAGAGCACTAAAGCTAGCTTAAGCTGCTGATGAGTTTTCAAACAAATTTAAATTAATAATTTATATATTAAATTTAAGGTCGAGCTCTTATAGCTCATGTGCTTTCAACTCTATTTGAGTTTAAGCTCAAAAATTCTTTCAAACTTAAAATTGAGATTGAACTCAACCTTAAATTGAGTAACTCAAGAGTAATTCAACTTATTTATAACTATAGTTTTTGCATTTTCTAAATTTGCTTAAGGCATTTCAACTTGATCATTTCCTTCACACTTACACAATGCTTCAAACTTTTTCAAAAGTATTTTTATTATCAAAATCATCTATTAGCTCACAATAGTAATTTTTGTATTCTATTGAACAAAAGATACATCTATCATATTTTTTTATGTATAATAGAATCAAATGAATGTTTTTTGAAATAAGATTTTATTGTATGTGAATTATTTTAATAAAACACATTGCTTTTATAGGAGTATGTCTTGAATCAAATTGTTTTTTTTTTTTATCAAGAATCAGACTATTAATTATATATATATATATATATATATATATATAAGAGTCACATTCACAATAGTTAGCTAATATTTGATGGGTTCCACATACCAACATGGCTTTTCTTTCTTATAGTACTATTCTTCCTTTTCAAATCTTAAAGGGAATATGTATGCTTATCTTTTTAATAAGTTTTAATCATAAGAAATAATATAAAAAGACAAAAAAGAATACAGGACGGATTGCATTATATTTAATTAGTTTTAATCCGTCCTGAATAATCATCCTCTTCAATGTCTAGAAAAATCTCTTATATTATAAGGATTTATTCTCTTGGCCACTAGAGGGAGGGTGTCATTTGACATTCCATTCTTTGATGGCAAACAGGTAGAGAGAATCTCATCGATATCATTTTGATTCTTTGATTGAGGGGTCCCATGCAAGAACAAATATTTTTTTTTTTTAATTTAAAAGAAACAATCATAGTTGGGAAAAATTATAAAATATGAGTTCTTGGTTAGAAGTGTACCCTCATTCTTGCTACTTAATTCAACAACTAATACTGAGATTCAGTTAATGGTAGGGGTTATAAGAACATGCTTTCCAGCACAAATCGTGCAAGAAAAGTCATTAAAAGAACAAGAAGAGTGAATCATATAAATGTCCATCTCTTAGTCTTAGCAGCTAATTAAAGGGGGAAATGAGACAAAAATTTGTATATTTCCTTTCTCTTTTTGCATCCAGAAAGTCATTAAAAGAACAAGAAGGGTGAATCATATAAATGTCCATCTCTTATTCTTAAGTCTTAACAGCTAATTAAAGGGTGAAATGAGACAAAAATTTGTACGTTTCCTTTCTCTTTTTCCATCCATATTCAACGTAAAGAGGAGATTTGTTTGGACTATTTAGTAAGGATGAAAAATGATTGAGGAAGGAATCTTAATCCAAGTGCAAAATGTCAAGGCAGTGTCAAGTCAATCAGACAAAGCATGATCACTTCACTTGCAATCTTTCATATTCCTGTTCAACATTTTCAGAGCAGTTTCCATTCCCAAAAGAACTTTGATTCCTTCAATCTCATCCACCTTCCCTCCCAAGCTTCTCAGTTCCCACAAAACAATTTCACCAAAACCTCACAGCCCATTTGAGATCTCTTCCATTCTTTGGAGAGGAGATTTGAAGAAAAACAAATAAATGAAAATTTTCAGATATGCTCTCTTAGTTAATAAATTAAATATTTTAAATTTAAAATTTTAAAACAAATGAGGAATAATTAAAGGAAGAAAAGACTAGCTAACTACTTTTGTTATACAGTCAATTCATTAGATAAATCAAAAAATAAAAGATAATTTAAGACAAGTAGCCTGAAAAATGAGATTAAATTATACTAGTAAACAGCTTCTTAACATGGTGTGCCTAAGCAAACAAGAATAATTAGGGGTGGTGATGGTATAATTATGATGGTAATGATGACAATCATGACTAATACAATGAAAGCAAGCATTTCTCACCAGAAAATACCATTGGCTATAGAGCTGCCTACCCTTTTTGATTTTGGTCTTCTGAGGAAGACTGTACCTAAAAGGAATTTTGGGTCACTACAGGCCAAACAATAAAAATTAAGGCATGTCTCAATAAAGGAA